ACTGTTCCAGCTTTCATAACTTTCTCCCATAGCGCTTACACAATCCCGGAAATGTCAGCCCCTGCACGGCTTAATAGGCATCTCAACACGCCCCCGCTGTTATTTCCGGTGTCCGCTTACAAAACATCCGCCAATCACAACGTGGCGCGCCGACACTTCCGGGGTTATGAAGCGCGTCCACCAACACCGAAATCCACGGGGTTGTTCTTCCTTCACTGGCGACTTCCCGATGGCGGCTCACAACCCCGCACCCTTGACGTAGGATGAAATCACGGACACAAGGACTATTTCAGTAAATCTGAGCGTAATCGGGAACTACAAAGCGGCACAGAAAGCCGAGCCGATCGTTTCACTTCAGCACCCCTACAAGCGTGATAAAATGGTAGGGTCGGATGAAGGTGACCTTGATTACAGCTCTGGAAGCGGACTGTGAGTGTCTCGCTGGGGTTGCTATGTACAGTACGTTCCTAGCACTCAGCTTGTCGCCAGATACACGTCACCACATGACCTGACGCACAGTCATTACCACACTCAGTGTGTCCATGGTAGCCTGGACACTTGTAGTATGCAATACTCAACAGACCTGCTGGGAGTTGTAGTTCCACATCACTTACAAATGAATTAGTTAATAAAACATGCATATTGAATACAGTCTACTGGCCCTGCACTGTAAATACTACATTCCTTTATATACAGTACTATGTTCACTATAGATCACGTGACAAACTGCTGCTAAAATGGCAGTGGAAAGCGTCACATGTACTATTAATGTAAATGAGGAAGTCTCCTTTAATAGCATTGTATAGGGATGTGATGGCCCACTGTCATTTCATATATGGGACTACAAGCAATCCCCCAATGTCTCATCAGTCTGAGAGCCGCCATTTCTTCATGGCAATGTCTAACTGTAACAAATGAAAACCTCAGGACACACGGATGATTCCATTGCTGGCATCAATTCACCAGAGACATGATCACTAGGAAAGGAAGCACTCCCCGGGATTTACTGCAACGCTTCCGCCAGTGACGCATTGCTCCAGCACTGGTGAGCGACATTCTGCAGCCAGTGATGGAGCTCCCGTGTAGACTGGAGACAGGTCAGTGCCCAATCTAGCCATCCAGTCCCAGGGATTATGTGTCTGACTTGGGCCTAAGGGGTGGGCAAATTCCGGCCCTCCAGCTGCGGTGAAGCTACAAATCCTATCAGCATCTGCTTGCGGCTGTGAGACTCTTGCAATGCCTCATGGGACTTGTAGTTCCACAACAGCTAGTGGAACGGAGTTTGGCCACCCCTGGCCTAAGGCAAAGCTCTCCCACATGCGCTTTAGTAGCATGCATATGCCAACTGCTTTTCTGGTGTGTTTTTTTAGCAAGTGCTCCTTTTATAGCAGGGGTGGCCAAACTTCAGCCTTCCAGCTGTGGTGGCACTACAAATCCCATTGTGCTTCTTCAGTTTTGCAATACCTAATGGGATTTGTAGTTTTACAACTGGAGTGTCAGTCAAGGTTACCTACCCTTGTTCTATAGGGAAATGTATGAATCCAAGAGTGCAACAACCTCTGTCTGCTACAGACACCAATGGTGGCAGCTTATTAGGGAGAAAGGGATCAGCAAGGGTTTTACTCTTTGTAGTC